TGCCGCCCCGCCCACCGCGCCCAGCGCACCCAGCGCACCCAGCGGGTCGTCCGCCAGCACCGGCGTGCGGGGAGACACTCTGTCAGTACATGATCATCAGATAGTCATAGGTTGTTTATTTTTAGTATAATTCATTTTATAAAAATTATTGGATTGTAAAATAATATGCTAATAACACATATCATTTCGATATGTCTGTATAGTAATTAACTATCTTTGTTTTGTACTTACTTAAGTGGAGATGTTTTGGCTTCTTCTTTATTGGACATCGCATTCAGTTCTTTATCTGTTTCCTCAGGGAAGCTCAACGTTCTCGAACATCGTGACTTTGGATTTGAAGTACCTGTGAAAATCAATATTGTCCTGTCACACACTTGAAAAATATACTATAATATCTATTTTATAAACAAAACTCTGAACTACGACAACATATTTCTGTATAAATACATCTTCAGTAGAAGCCAACTTTTATATACCACTAGAGGAAAGATAGACGAGAATATGCGGAATAAAACGTACTTTTGTATGATTTTTGACAATGGAAGCCGATTCTTACCACTAGAGAAGGATAACCTCTGTAAGTTCTGTACGATTTGCGCGTCTCCCGCGAAACTCTCCGAGCGGGTAAGTATGCGCAGGTCCGATGGGCTGTCGGGGCTCACGTGAATCGTCTGAAAACAAATTTGTATTTGTAAATATTTTGATATATAACTTAGAATTAGTTATATAGCTGTTACCGGCAAGGCCGCCTTTGCACAAATTTTCTATAGTTGATAAGCTTAGATTTAGTTTACCTTTTGTTATGTTTGTGCATTAAGTGTTAAAGAAAAAAATAATAAATTACAATTAATGCATTTGTTTTATTCAAACAGAATATAATTATTAGGGTCAATTAAATTTCATACTAATAGAAGTCACAAAGTCTGTGAAAACTTACAAACTTTTAGACAGAAATAAAGTACAAACTTATTATGTTTTTGAACTTAACATACCTGTCGTTTCTCTTTAATGGAAAGCGGTGTCGGTGGGGTCGTTTCCTCGCTGCCCAGTGAGTTACTCCTTGGCCTCGCAACTTCACTCAAATCTTGATTAGACGGCAAGCCTAAACAATAAAAATTATTTACTGTTAAATGGGGATGTTTCCTAATTTTTGGAATAGCCTTTATTTTGTAGATAAACCATGTATGAACACGAAAAAAAATAGTATAAAATATAATACTCATTATTTCAATAAAAAAACACGTAAATAAAAACAACTCTTTCATTTCCCCCCAAAACGTCCCATGACGTCACTTCTTTGCATACGAACCTCGCGTCACGGCCTGTCACTGTCAATTTGAAAGAACCATTGATTGATAATACTCGTAAATCTTTGTTGTCTAAAGTTGTTTTTAGTAATGGAGATAAAAATGAAAAAACCAAAATGAACAGAAGGTGATACTTTTAACGTATTAATTACACTTGTTGCTTCTCGTGGAAGATTATGTTTGTGTGTAAACAGTGACTGCGTCCTACACCAGTGTGACCAGGTATAAATTAAATTGTACTATAAGCTACTCTTATGAATTTTGATATATTTTTCTTTTGTAATATTCATAAAATGTTTTGATCATAACTTATTTCGTAATTATAAAAACACTCAATAATGGAGTCCTCATAATATAAAACACGCAAACTCAATTATTACAATCATTTAGAAAAAAATATAACTACAAAATGCACTGACGTTGGTCACACTGCCATGTTATATGCAAGAAAGTGACGTCATTGGTGTTTGAGATCGAGTAATGGAGGGTTAAAAATATTGCAGCGTTTTTAATTTATATTTAATTTGAGACAAACATTCAAGGTCTCTAAATGTTATTATAGGTTATAAAATGCTGTCTTTAAAATATTAAACATAACTTTATTTGGATTTGTAACATTAGGAAACATCCCCATTAAAACATGTGAATTTTTTTATGAAGAAAGATCTATTTTCATTATATTTGTTGGTTTAGACGCGTGTTTCTCGTTGCTTTAATATGATTTTTTCTATTGGGCCGAACTAATTAATATAATCAATCGACTCAATGGAAAAAAAGGCCAAAGAGCTAATCGGCCTGACGGCAAACACCATTCTTTTCTGTATTTTACAGAGAATATGTGAAACGACAGTAAGAGTAACTACAGTCATAATGCACAATAGCAATGTGTACATTTTAAATGAAGATGAGTAAATATGATTATACTAGCTTTCGCTCGCGACTCCGTCCTTGTGGAATTTATAAAAACAATAGTGAGTAGTCTATGTGTTCTTCCAGACATCTATACCAATTTTCATCAAAAACCGTTCATGCGTTTAGGCTACAAACTCAAACAAACATCCATTCATCCATCTAAACTTTCGCATTTAAAATATTTGTATGATAACCTGATATAAGTATGCCGGCGGCGGCGGAGAGGCCGTGCGCGCGCGGTCTGCGCGGCGCCGCTCGCACGATGTTGGCGCGCCGCCACAGCGCCTCCAGCGCACCGCTCGCTGGAAACAACACACTTTATCTATTTCTCCTTTTCTGCTGAAAGAAAAGACAACTTAATAATACATTATATCTGTGTTACTTTAAGCTTGTTGTAAATAAAAAATTTGACAATGCAGTTTCTCTTTCCGTTTGAAGAGTTAGGGGCAGAGGCAAAATAAGAAAAGTGTGGTGCTAAAGGATATGTCCATCCATGCGAAGTTTCGGATCAGGATGTCTCAGATCGAGTGAAGTGAAGGAGATTGATAAAGAAAGCCGACCTACCATAAGGGAGGCAGGCCAGGGAGAGTAAGAAAGAGAGGTTTATTTGATGTGAATAAAACATTACATTGTTTCAAGTAGTAACTTACCCGAGTCAATACTGGAACGACTTCGTGCGTGCTCGTGTAGCGGCGGCACCTCCAGCTCGCCGGACGCGCGCACGCGCGGTAAAGTATTACTGCTGCCTGTAAACAACATACATTTATTAATACATTTTAAAATAAATGACCGAAAAAGCCAGAAAAATACGCTAGGTAATAAACACAGTAGATATACGTGTTTACTACCTGGATTGTTCTGCACATGTCCGGCAGCGCGGCTGGCTCTCAGCGCACCCGCCTTGCGGAACAACGCGGCGCCCACCACTGCGATACGCAACTTGTTCCAAAGCAGTTGCGATCCGCTGAAATCATTTCATGTATTTCGAATTCAACAATTCAAACCATGAATTTATCCGACGTTTTTACGATGAAGGAAAACATAGCAATGCAACCTGCATATATCTACGAAAATATTCAAATATACGTGTGTAGTAAAGTGAAATCAACCATAATTATGCTAGCATGGTTAACTATGGCTTAGTTATCCATAACTTGAGTAAACTCTGCGCCTTACATAGGAGCTGACAATAAATTCAAATAAAAAAAATACTTTTAAAATTTTGAAAAAATTATCAACACCAGGAAAACCTTTAACTTGATATTTTCCATGTCCTACCTAGAATTTCTTAAGCAGACTAACTCTACTGTGAGTGTATCTGTTTATATTACCTAGGCATATCCTTAGGCCAGGCGGCCTCAAGCACACATCGGTTGTAGTATCCGTATGTGAGTGCGTTGGGCTGCAGCCCGGCGCGCTTCATGAGGAACAGCAGCTGCACCGCCAGCACCGGCAGCGAGTGCACGCCGCACAGCTGCATCATCACACGGTAGCACACCTGCATACCAATCAAATATACTATCACTTACCTTTTTAAAGTATTACGTAAAATTAAATTCTGCTGGCAAAGTTAGTTCTGCTAAAGAAAAGTTATGTCAATGTCTATAGTTAAATAGTAAATATAAAATGGTTGATTTCCATTGCACGTCAACTTCAAACTCGGTTGACATAAAATAGGAATAAGTGTCAGCATACTTTGGAAATTCTTAGACGACTACCTTAACAACCGACAAATATTAAATGATGAGTAAGAAGTTGTGGGCGACATCTGGTGTGAGAATAAAAATCCTGTCTATTAGAAAATATCTATTTCCACGCGTCTTGCACTTCATAAGTTTTAATTGCAAATGTCAAAATACAAATGCTTAAATGGAAACGAAGGTCCTTGACGTTAGCTGACAATTGTTTATGAGTAACCATGGCAACCTTCTTTGCTACTATTGTCTTGAAGTTTTGGTCCCTTTCCCTCATAAAGGTTTTACCAAATGATTTAATCCCTAAGTTTATTGGAGTGAAAATATATAGCCTACAGCGTGTCCGAAGTGTAGAGTTTTTTACTAGTGCATATATAGAATAGATCTAAGAGACTCAAAAAGGTATAGAGGAAGCATAGTTCACTTCACTTGGAAAATTACATATGATCCTCACTAACGCTATCTATATATAATTAAAAATGTCAAAGAACATACCGGTGAAAAAATGTTCACAATGTCTAGTCTACATATTTGTTAATTGACTTTGATATAGCGCGATATGAAGGTCCGGTACCTCATCGCAGGGCACGCGCAGCTTGGTGGCGCGCTCGAGCAGCTCGAAGGCGGCGCGCAGTGCGGCGTGCTCGCGGCCGCGCTGCAGCGCCAGCCGGCACGGCAGCGCCAGGAAGTACAGCGAGTAGCACGCGCCCAGCAGGCACTTCGCCCACGACTCCGGCGACAGGCTCGCCTTCCTCGCTAGTCTGCAATACATTACAATTACATACATATTAAAGAATTAACTGCTTTACGCATTTTAAAAATGTTTTACTGTACTCCATGTGCCAATCACAGATTGTGGTAAGGCACTTTAAAAAAATAATACTTTTTTTTTTCATTTTTTAAATGCGAAATTTATTAAATCAGACAAGAGTTGTTGGACACTAAAAGAATCTCATATGTGAATGTAGTTCAATATCAACACTATGGGACTATTTTAAATCTTAATTATACATGCAAAGGTATGGATGGATGGATGGATTTTTCTAGTCTATACTGCTTAACGGATTTCAATGAAATTTGGCATAGATGTAGAGCGTAGTCTGGAGGAACACATATGCTATTTTTTTACCCAGTGTATAGTTACAGTTCCTATGGAAGACATTAATTTTGTTTTTTCATGTATACTAACATTACAGCAAAAACTGGTATACTATAGGTGGAATCGTGGTCAAGCGCGAAAAAAATCAACAAAATCGCGGGTAAAAACTAGTAAGTAGTAGGAGTGTGTTGTACCTCTGTGCGGCGGTGATCTCCTGCTTGGTGCGCTTGGCCATGGGCGAGGCATCA